AAAGTAAGAAATCATATGTTGGCATGAAGCATCCCTAGCAGTATTGTCAATATGAAGAAAACTGAGGTTGAGAAATCAGGAGATTGAAAGATAACTTCAAATAAGAAACAAGCTTTAGAAGGCCATGATAGACAATTCTGGAGATTCCATTCTGCTTCCTTCAGAGACTTGAAACCAACAAATGTTCTGCTGGATGACGATGACCAACCATTGTTGATGGACCTAGGCTCTATGAATCAAGCACGCATTGAAGTACGGAGCTCCCGGGAAGCCATGACATTGCAGGTACAAGGGTGGCCCAGTGAAAAGGATGTGGGAATTTCCAACAAAGTTAAGAGGGAAGAATCTAAATTAGATTAACAATGAAATATTCCCATTGTTTACTCCCATAGCTTGGAATGCAAATTTAAAACACATCACATTATTTAGTGTGGGGGTGGGGGTTGGGGGGGTATTGCTTCTGAGTTCACAAAAGTAACTTTATGCATTATGTCTTCACATGCTAGCACTAAAATTGCTACTTTAACACAACATTGTTCTACTTTTTAAAAACAACCTATAGTTCAAGCATTATAACTGTAGGGAACTTTAGGGATATTGCTCTATGGAGCCCTGATGTGGCACTACCAGAGAAAAATTAATATTAGCACCTCATAGAATTATCCCACATCACTGTTATTTTTTTCTGTGGACATGAATATTTTCTACCTAGGTTGAGTTTTGGAATTAAAAACAATCAGAAATCAGGTAAGATGGAAGCTGGTAGTGGGTAACCATACTTAGTAACATTGAGGACTCTGTTCTGGTTGCAGTGTGAATAGAATGGGCAACAGGTTTGTTGCATTAATGGGGCTTGAACAGTGCTTGGTAGTCATTGTTACCGGATGTTATTCTGAGTTACATGTTACTTTCTTGGACATAGAAAATAGAAGATTTAGATTAATCCCTCCCATGCCCCTTCCCTACCAATGTTCTGTAGCTGAAATTCAGTTTTGTCCCTTTATCTCACAGGATTGGGCTGCCCAGCGCTGCACCATCTCTTACCGAGCACCAGAACTGTTTAATGTCGAACGTGACTGTGTTATTGATGAACGTACTGATGTCTGGGTAAGGGCCTTAATTTCCACTTAGAAAAACACATCTGCAAATACTCTAAATAATGTAATGTTGTGCAGGGGAGGAAAGTCCTCTCCTTGTGGCCTCTCTCCATTCTTGGGCCAGCCTTCTGCTCCATATACTCATCTTGCCTTTCCTTAGTCCTTAGGCTGTGTTCTGTACTGTATGATGTTTGGTGAGGGGCCTTATGACATGATCTTCCAAAAGGGGGACAGTGTGGCCTTGGCTGTACAGAATGATCTCACTGTGCCCCAGAATACAAAGTAAGGAAGTGCTTCAGGAAAGGGAAGCTCAGAGTTGCCCAGGTTTCAAAGAAGATCCAATGTAAATGGCTTCTAAATTACAGGTATTCACCTGCCTTGGAACGTCTCCTCTCCTCAATGATGATAGTGAATCCTCAACAGCGCCCATACATTGCTGGCATCATCTGCCAGCTTGAAGAGATACAGCCACCACCTGCTGGACAGGACACCACACGCATCTGAGCCCACTGAATGTGTGGTAGAGATGGGGCCAGGAGAGGCGTTGCAGCCCAAATGGGACATTAAGAGGTTAAGTTCAAAGCCAGGACATGGTATGTTCTGTTCTGTGCTTGCCACCTTCCAGAGTGGGGCCACCTCTTGCTTTGGAGATGATAGACTTTGGGACTCTCTTGGCAGTTACCTTGCCATTCTCACTGGTGCCCTAGCATGCACCTCAACAATCCTATTGGGTCTCAACTGGTCTGTTGGCAGCGTACCCGCTCCCTCCATAGGATGTTGTACAAGGGATCCAAGGTACCTCAAGAATAGATGGGGAAATGGCCAGCTTTTAAAAAATCTTAAATATTGCTTGCGGTTAATTATTGAGGGGCTGGCGCCCTATTTATTTTGGTGCAGGCACACCCTCAGTGCCTATGTGTTCAATAAAATCCTTACAATGCAGCTGCATCAGTGGTTTCCAAGTTTTTAAGTTGAGGAGTGAATGGGGAAAGAGGTGACCTAACCATACTAGTTTTTCCTTACCTATTCATTTCAGTTTGGTCCATTTCCTGTTTTACATCAAGTATCTTCTCTATCATTGTGTATTTGCCATGTTTGTCTGATTTGTGCTAGTCTAATTAATTGTTTAGGCTAAGGGAAGTTGAGTGGTATAGGATAGGAAATCTTGTTTAACTGACCCAGGTTTCAGTTATTTCCAGAATGACCACTGTTGTACTCTGTTGAACACGAACTCCATTCAAATGTATGTTATAATTTCCACAGTCCAAAAGGTTTAGTTTTGTGTAAAGCGGCCACATCTTTAGTCTGTCTGGAATAAATTCACTCTTAAGGCAAAATCAGCAAGGGCGGTGGCTGTTCTTGGCAAGGTTAGTAGATAGAAAGCATTTGTATTGAAAGAAAATGGTGCTAGAATGAGCATCTATGTGTAAATGAAAGTATAGAAAGGCCAAGGAGGTTCATACCATAAGCATATCGCTCACCTCTGTTTATGAGGGTGGATGAAGACTGGCACATCTCTTTTTAGATTCCTGTGATACTGTCCTTGTGCATCCAGCAAAAAGTGGAGTGGAAGGGGATTGGATCTCTGCCTGGTATGAAGGAGGGTGGGTCATAGGCTGGCAAGGCTACTGGAGACTAACTTTAGATTGTGAAACTCATAAATAAATAAGCAGTTTTAAAAAACAGCAGGTAGAAAAGAGAAAGATAGCCTCCCCCCCCCCCACAGATTTTAAATTGTTCTCTGAGCTGAAGAGTTTTCCCCCCATATAATTCTTATTACAAATATATGAGCAGTGGGGAAGAGTACAAGAGTGAATATAAAATGGGCATTTTTAACATCTTACATCTTCTTCCATTGTTATCTAATACAAAAATGATTTTATGGTGTTAAAAAAAAGAGAGAGAAAAGAACATTTCTAATCTAAAACAGGATAGAAAAGTTGATGTACAGTGTTTTGATGCAAAGGAAATAGAAAGGTTGAGAAATGGAAAATAGGAAACCCTAACTAATGCTTCCTCCCCTGTCTCTGCTGTCTTCTTGCAGACTCAGTTATGACCTCATCAGGCGAGCTGATTTGCCTGTTGTACACTGCTTCACCTCCTTTTACAGCAGAGTCCTTCACACAATGTACAGGCACAGCCAAAAAGGGAGGTGAAGCAGTGCTTGCCACAGCAACACAGGAGCCTTCCCATGTTGCCTTCCCTTCTGTTGGGGGGGGGGGGGGGGGGGGGGGGAGCTGGGTGGCGACATTTTTCCCCTTGAGATGAGGGACACGGTAAGACAGGCAATGCAGGGTGTGGTGTAGCAGCTTCTCCACGCTCCCTGCCTGGAGGCGAATCTATAGGCCTTTATGATAAGGTCCTTTTTCATCTCTGTAAGTACTGCCTTTCATTAGGCCAAGTGCACTACATAAAAGACTGCCACCCCCAATATTGTGTCAGCATACCCAGTGGTTCTGGATTATGAATGTTTTCATCCAAAATTATATCTGCGGACGCAATGCTATAAAGAGCTTCATAGAAAACTACCATATTTACTTCAGTAAGGTGGTCGAAACCTGAGGACTAGATATAACACACATAAAAATGCTTTTAAAATTAAGCCTAGCAGAGAGTAAGCAGGGCCGCAACAAAGGAACTTTCCTAAAGTGTAGCACTCTTTGGGCTAAGATGAAATTGCACTTTTTAAGGCTTCTTAGCTATAAGAGTAAACTCTTTAATGTATGTGTCCCTTCTGCAATATAGTCACAAAATGCCCAGTAGTTGCAGACTGCAGTTTAAAAAGATTGTATCTACTGAAGAGGAAGATACTGTTACACTGAAGGTGAGAATTGTGGATGTGAATCCTTTCTAAGCTAGCACTTTTTTTCTTTCGCTACCACAGTAATTAGGTCTAGGAAATAAGTGGTAAACATTCTCCTTGGCAAATCATGTAAATTAACAAAAGGTTGGTGTGCAGAGAAATGCTGCTTAGCATTTTGGAGAAAGAGTGGGATACAGGTGTTTTGGTAATAGGTATCTGAAATCTTTACCACTGAGGAATTTAATACTTGTAGAAAAGCAACTTCTTCTTAGAATGAGGGAAGTAGATATAGAGGTACCTATAGATTTATTTAGCTCCCACTGACTGCTATTCTTATTCTTATTGGCTAATCCTATTCCACTTACCGTATTTAAAGGAGTTTCTGAGTTGGTAGACATGGAGTTTTGAGGGAACTGTATGAAGAGTCACAAAGTGGCTGCAAGAGTGAGTGTGGCAAGTTGCAAAATAGAAGTCATAGCGTGTATAGCCTGTCAAAAAACATCCAGACCAAATGAAACGTATCTTCCCAGGACCTTGAGAATCCTTCAGATATTAGGTCTTCATTATGAAACACAAAATTGCCTTACCAAATCCAGGAAACTAATGAGGGTTGGAGACAAGTAGCATGGTACAGATGTGGTCTAATCCTCAAAATACCAAATTGGATCCCCTGCCCTCACGAAACAAAATGAAACCCATCCCGCAGAAGAAAACTGGTGGTATTCATCTTCCAGGATGGTATTTGGCTGACTAGCTAAGCTTCTAAACAATGTATACATTCCATTTCTTAATGTCTCATGTTGCCTAGGGGCATTCTTGAATTTGGCAAAAAGCCCGTGTTTCACTTTATCATGTGCCAGCATTAAGGGTTGCTTTTTAAAAAAAACTGAAGATCAGGAGAAGCAATAGTGTTTCACTATGTTGCTCAACTTTAGCTACTGAGAAATGTACTTCCCATTTTCACATCCTGCCATAGAGCAAGGAATGAAGGAAACAGCTATACTACTTGGTGATATTGAAAAACAACTGTATTCAGTGGAACTACATTATGAGAATGGGGAAACCACGATCTTGGGCAAGAAAGACACATTTGACAGGAGTGCAATTAAAGCCAAGCATACTTTAATAGGAAGGAAGGTCCAAACAAAGCAGGCCATCTACAGTTACTCTTCTCCCTCTTCTTCATCTTCATATGAGTCAATTCCCACCTCTTCATAATCCTTCTCTAGGGCAGCCATATCTTCTCGTGCCTCAGAGAACTCTCCTTCTTCCATGCCTTCTCCTACATACCAATGGACAAAGGCCCTCTTGGCATACATCAGATCAAATTTATGATCCAGCCGGGCCCAGGCCTCTGCAATGGCTGTGGTGTTGCTTAACATGCATACTGCTCGCTGCACCTTGGCTAGGTCTCCACCTGGAACTGCAGTTGGTGGCTGGTAATTGATGCCAACCTTGAAGCCTGTGGGACACCAATCTACAAACTGAATGCTGCGCTTGGTTTTTATGGCAGCAATTGCAGCATTGACATCTTTGGGTACCACATCACCTCGGTATAAAAGGCAGCAGGCCATGTATTTGCCATGTCGGGGATCGCATTTCACCATCTGGTTAGCAGGTTCAAAGCAAGCATTTGTGATTTCAGCCACAGAAAGCTGCTCATGGTATGCCTTCTCTGCCGAGATGACTGGGGCGTAAGTAGCCAGAGGGAAATGGATTCGAGGGTATGGCACAAGGTTGGTCTGGAACTCTGTCAGGTCAACATTGAGGGCACCATCAAAACGCAAGGAAGCTGTGATGGAGGACACAATCTGGCTGATAAGGCGGTTGAGATTTGTGTAAGTCGGACGTTCAATGTCCAGGTTCCTGCGGCAGATATCATAGATGGCTTCATTGTCCACCATAAAAGCACAGTCTGAGTGCTCAAGGGTGGTGTGCGTAGTTAGGATGGAGTTGTAGGGCTCCACCACTGCTGTGGAGATCTGTGGAGCTGGGTAAATAGCAAATTCTAGCTTGGACTTTTTTCCAAAGTCAACAGAAAGACGTTCCATCAACAAGGATGTGAATCCCGAACCAGTGCCTCCTCCAAAGCTGTGGAAAACCAAGAATCCTTGGAGTCCTGTACATTGGTCAGCCTGTTGGAAGAGCCAAAAGAAAAAATGTTGCTAAAGGGTAGCATGCTCCTTTCACCCTAATACTCTGACTTGGGAATTCTACATGAGGGATCTATCCTTAATCATAGGATTGATGCAATTAATCATATGGTTGTCTATTGGGAATTTGTCTTTGCTCAGTCTCCTGTTACCTCCTTTTTCCAATCTAGAAGAAGAAGCAGCGCACTTGATGGGTAGAAGTCAGTGTATTATATTACACCTGTAGTAGTGAAGCACTGCCGTGAACAATACATGTGACCCAGGGCAAGCTACCATTCTATCCTCTGGCTTTGGATCAAAAGTATAAGGATATCTCTCTTTACAAAGGGAGGCAAGGAAGTTTGTTTTTTTTTTAAAAAAAAAATCCAGCTTCCCCTTTTCAAGTGTCCATGCAAACTGAGAGGATCATAAACCATTCCTCCTAATCATTTTGTGTAGGGTCAGTATGCTATGAAACAGTCTTCTCTTTACCCCAACCTCATCCATAAGGATAATTCGTCAGAGGGCATTCAAATAAGAACCCATAGGAAGTTGCCTTGTATCAAGTTAGACCATGAGCCATGTAGCCCAGTATTGGCCATTTTAGTGATCTTAGCTAGCATACTGAGATCTATTCATTAACCTAGGCAGGTTACCACATATGGTGTTGCTGGGGAGACCCAACCTATGCATGCTTGCCCTAAAGACAACTCACAGATCTGCAGAAGTTAAGGACTCCTTATCTATTCAGATAAGCAGAGTAGTCAGATGGAATCGGGTGTTCCAGGAAAAAATAGGGTCACTAAAGCAGTGAGATGAAGGTAACAAGGCCTAAAGAAGTAGTAGGTGGCAACTACTTAAACAAGCCACAGCACACACAATTCTTTCTTGGTACTATCAACAAGAAAGAAGTGAGTAGATAAGGGGAAAAAAAACAGAATGGCATCAAGTTTATAGATTTTAAACTGAACTCACGTGGGCAAATCATGACATGTAACGGCTTCTACCATTGTTGACGGGGCAACAATAAAGTGTGGAAAACGTTACAAGAGCAAAGTAGTAGCAAGAAGGTGGTAGCCCTAAATTACATATTGATTTGCTCTAAATACCTTTGGCTACAGAACTTCTAGCACAACTGTATTTGGTTTAATGGGAGATTGGGTGGAGCACTGAAGTAGAATGAGGTGCATTCGTCCATTCCCTTAAGATCTATGCCATGAAGCTTCATGTGACACTATCATATCCAGAATTAGATTCCCAGCAGAAGTTCTAGTTAACAAAATAGTGATCTTAAATCCTTGGCCTCCTAAGAGCCTCCCTCTAGCCCCAACTGCCTGCCACCTCTCAACAGTTCCTTCTGTTCTTCCCATAAGTCTTTCTCCATAATTATACCAGTTTCCGGATCCTGTCCAACACCAAGTCAATGATCTCTTTGCCAATAGTGTAGTGCCCACGAGCATAGTTGTTGGCAGCATCTTCTTTACCAGTGATCATCTGCTCTGGGTGGAAAAGCTGGCGATAAGAGCCAGTACGAATCTCATCTAGAAAAAGATGGGGAGGGGGATTAGGAGGAGAGGACGCCAAAGAAATGTTAAGTGACTGCTGCAACATGGCAACAAGAATTTAACCAAAGCATTTACCAAATGGAAGAACCTGATTATAGCTCAAATGCCATGGAAAACCCAGAATATTCCTGGAATTGCCTCACTTCCTGTCCAACATTACTAGCCATTTGAATTGCCACTCTGCACTTCCCAGGATAGTAAATAGTTTTGATGGGGTCTTCTCTTAGTGGGAGAAGATATGAGTAGTTCTTCCTTTCCATTATATGCTGCTAAATTCCACTGCCATTCTTGCTACTTGCCCAGTCCTCTGGATTGTCAACTTGTGGAACTAGACTACATTCTTCTTAGAGTCAAATTTTCCCTTACACCTAGATTTAGGTGATTCTATAGTTGAAGGATTCAAATCACCACCAATATAAATGGATGCTGAGCTAAGGAGAAGCCAGGTGGTAGAGAAAATGCACCTCCACTCACCAATCACAGTGGGTTCCAAGTCCACAAAAACAGCCCGAGGCACATGCTTCCCTGCGCCAGTTTCACAGAAGAAGGTGGTGAAGGAGTCATCTCCACCCCCAATGGTCTTCTCACTTGGCATCTGTCCATCTGGTTGAATCCCATGTTCCAGGCAATACAGCTCCCAGCAGGTATTGCCCATCTGTACTCCAGCCTGGCCAACATGTATGGAGATACACTCACGCTGCAGAGGAAAAATAAAATATATTTTTATCACACGTTATCTCCAACGAGCTCAAGGAGGCACACATGCCTCCTCTCTCTTCACTTATTCACACAACAAACTGACAATGCAATAAGGAACTAGCCCAAAGACTTGCTAGTGACTCATAGAGAAAGCCCAATCAAATTACTACAGACTTATGGTACTGGATTTTAAATATCCTTCAGCAAAATGTGACCAGAGAGATAATATTCAAAAACTCAAAGCCATAGACCCCAATGAAGCCAACATGGAGCAACCTGCGCACTTTTATAAATGGCAGAGGTTTTTATCTGCCACACTGGTTCAGCTGAATATTTCTAATTCACCAGTAAGAGACAATCAATGTGTTTTGAGAGGTGTGGCTAAACAGTGTATCTAGGTCATTTCATAACAGCATATTAGAGAGAATTACATGTAGACCAGCCTTGATGCACTTTTACTTCTAGTTCTGTTGACCCAAGGAACAATAACAATGCTGTAGGGGACAGACATGTCATAGCCAAATACTGTGCATGCATGTATATAATGCTGTTTGTGGCATCTGTGCTGCAGATTGACATCTCACATTGCAAGTAGTTACATAACACAATAGCAAGATCACTGGCATACACCTGTAATGGTAGCAGCAACTTTCTGACATGAACAGAAGATATAACAGGATTGTTAAGTCATGCATGTATATAATGCTGTTACTGAAGAACTGCCACTTAGTGACTTTCCATACATTATGGTACGTGTTCAGAGAACATTTCCCCATGACACCCACACGGGCTGCAATCTTTAAAAATGCATGCAGGCCTTTTCACTGTGCTTCTCTCCTACCCACCACTGCAATTCATTTCACAGGATGACGTACCACACACATACAAGCTGACAACACCCAAACTAGGAATGCATGCTGGAACATGACAAGAGCATCCCCCAGGACAAAGGTATCCACACAGAGATATTACAAGCCCTAGTAGAATGAAGGAAGAGTATTTTCACATTCTGTCCATGAATAACTCTATAAATCAGAAACCTATTCCAAGGTTGCAACTGACTATAAAGTAGCTGCAACCTCATCAAAATGAGGCATCAGCAGGTCATGCTGCAGTGTCTAATTTAGTGGCCAAGTTGGCACAGAACAAGAAAAAAAATCCCAAAGTGCTCGTGCAGCAGGAGAGTTGATACTAGCTGGTATTCAGTCGATCACACCATCACAACTAAATCGGGGAAGGTGGCTATTTACAGACCCACCCAGCCTGTGAGGCAACCCAGCCCATGAACTGACAATATTCTTGCTGCAGCAGTCTGACTCTGTGCCAGCACTTTTAATCCAGGTGCTAAATGGGTCAAGGCACCAACAACATTATCCTTTCAACAAGAACCCTTCACCTCTGACTTTGAACATCAAGAGGCGATCTATATCCATTCAAGGGAGAAGAAACCAGTTAGCTGTTCTCCTCAAGGCATACTGGACCGACAGACCCAGGAAGGAGGAATCCCAGTTTGTAAGTATGGCATCCTCAGTGCTACTAGCTATTTAAAATAATATGGTCTTCACCTAAGTGGTAAGCTCTAATCCAAGTTATATAAAATGTAGACTATAAATAAAAAATCAAATGGTAGGGTGGTTTCTTTATCCCCTGTGCAAAGAATCCCTATTCTCTCCATATAGAAAACGAAATAATGTGGGTAAGCAGCTAGACTATCAATAGTGTTCTAGGGCCTTCGGTGCTGCTGGCCCACATGCGCGCACACCTCTTGTTCTGTGACATGGTTGAAAGAGATCTGCCCCTGGGAAAAAGGGTACATAGATTTCTTTTGTTCTACCCTCTTCAAGGCCTGTTAGCATTTACTGTCCATCCTAGTTGTGTTTTGCATGTGTATATTGGGACGCATCCTCCGAAACTCTGGCCTCAATCATGTCAGAAAATAATTAACAAGTTTCTGTTTGTTAATCTGCATGTTCCTAACACCTCCTCTAATATCTGCAAAGAGACATCTTTCAACTAGCCATACTCAACGCCTTCTACAACATGTTTTTCCTTGAATCATAATTCAGCTAAAGAAAAAAAATCCTGATTGCACCAAGTGGGTACAGTTTGAAATATCTTCAGGCTGGCAACTCTTGCAACATAATGTGGTCACATTTTGTAATGGCCAATAGCTAAACGGTGTAAAATGACTTAACATAATTTTCAAATTTCTCCTCTTCTAGATTCACCAGATGGCCTTAAGCAGGATCCTCCCTTTAGGAGACTGACACACCTTACAGAGCTTAATATAAAAGGTCTACTGAAAAAATTATCTGGAAGATTTTTTAAAGTGCAAACAATCTCATCCTTCCTCAACAACTCTTTTGAGCTCCATCTAATCTACAGCATATGTTGTAGAAATATAAATATGGGTAATTATAATACCTTATAATATATATTGACAGCAAAAAGTATTATTTCCAGTAAAGGCTTCCCCTGACATTAAGTCTAGTTGTGTCCAACTCTGAGGGGGGGGGGGTGGTGGTGGTGGTGCTCATCTCCATTACCAAGCCAAAAAGCCATCTTCGTCCATACACACCTCCAAGATCATGTGGCCAGCATGACTGTTTGGAGCACCATAACCTTCCCACTAAGGCGGTACCTATTGATCTATTCACAACTGCTAGGTTGGCAGAAGCTGGGCCTAACAGCGGGAGCTCACCCCTCTCCCCAGATTTGAACAACCAACCTTTCAGTCAGCAAGTTTAGCAGCTCAGCAGTTTAACTCCCTGCACCACCAGGGGGCCTATTATTTATGGTAAATAATGTATATTATATTAACTATATTATATAATGAGAGCCAGCATTGTGTAATGTTTTGAGTGTTGGGCTATGACTGGAGAGCAGGGCTCAAATCCCTGCTCGGCCATGGAAACCCACTGGGTGACCACGGGCAGGTCCACACATCTTCCACAATGCTCCATTATTAACCATGCTGCTTTGGGTTTTGAGGCACTATAGTCAAAGTTGCCTACGTCCCCACTCTCCTTTGAATTGCTGCTCCCCTCCCCTCCTACATGATGTAACACAGGATTTTTCAAAACAATGGGCTCAATTTCAAAGCAATGTATTCCATGACTGAAACATGTTACAATTACAGAAAAGTTACAAATCACTTTCATGAGTTAACAAGTTACCAAGTGTTATGAGCTACACTTCTGATTTTGTTGGAAAAGTTTCAGCTGGGCGCTGATCTGTTTTAGTTAGCCCAATATACTTCAATAGCTGCATTGGCATTGGACCTCGTCACACTAGAGCATGAATCCACTTTAAATCTGGTTGCTGCCTCCTGCACAATTCTGGGGTTTGTAGTTTAGGGAGGAACCTTTAACAGCCTCACTAAATTACAAACCTCAGAATTCTGCAGGAGGCAGAAACCAGATTTAACCAGATTTAAAGTGGATTCATTCTCTAGTGTGATGAAGTACTTGCAGATGACTCAGGCTTTAGGGGCTGTTTGTGTGCTGGGAAAGGCATCTAGCAGCAATAAATTGATCCTCAAGGCGTAAGGGTGTCATTCATGGGTGGTTTGGTGTTTCACATCAGGTCCATCTTTTTGAACCATCCTGTATATGGATATGGGGGTCTCCATACTGAGACAAGCTCTGATAACAAACAAGCATCTACACTTGTGGTGTCAAACCTACAAACCTCCAAGTGTTTTGGACTTCAGCTCCCAGAATTCCTGGCCATTGGACAAATTGGCTAGGGCTTTTGGGAGTTAGTCTGAAACATCTGGGGCCCTTCCACACAGCCATAAAAGGCAGAATATCAAGGCAGATAATCCACAATATCTTGAGTCCACACAGCCATATAATCCAGTTCAAAGCAGAAAATGTGGGATTTTATACAGCTGTGTGGAAAGGGCCCTGGAGGGCCAAAACTTTGACACCTCAGATCTCCACTGTAGAATTAATGCAGTCTGGCATCACCATGGCTCAATGTTACGTGCGAGTTGAGGTTTCATAAAGCCTATAGACTTCTTTGCTAGAGAGGGCCCAACTCCAGCTTCTGGGATTCCATAGCATTGAGCCATGCCAACTCAAGTGGCTTCAAAGTGCGTTGGTCCCATAGTATAGAACTCTGTTTTCTAAACTCTGGTCAGCCAAGCGCTTTGGACTTCAGTTCCCAGAATTCCCAAGGGTTGGCTGAGTCATTTGTGAAGCTTCTGGGAGTTGAAGTTCATAATACCTAGAAGGGCCAAGTTTGGGAATCTGGAGTAGATACCTCCTAAATGTGGCTGCTGGCCTAAGCTCCTCCTTGGGCTGTGGACTAGATAAAAGAGGGAAGGAAACTGTCCTTAGGCCTCCTTGCTGGGGCTCAACACGAAGCGCTCCTACTACATTAAAGGTAAAGGTTTCCCCTTGATATTAAGTCGTGTCTGACTCTGAGGGGTGATATTTATCTCCATTTCTAAGCCGAAGAGCCGGCATTGTCCATAGACACCTCCAAGGTCATGTGGTCAGCATGACTGCATGGAGTGCTGTTACCTTCCCGCAGGAGCGGTACCTATTGATCTACTCACATTTACATGTTTTCAAACTGCTAGGTTGGCAGAAGCTGAGGCTAACAGTGGGGGCTCACTCCACCTCCTGGATGCAAATCGCTGACCTTTCAGTCAGCAAGTTCAGCAGCTCAGTGGTTTAACTCGCTGCACCATCTACTACATTATGTATCGGCAAACTTGGGCCCTCCAGGTGTTTTGGACTTCAACTCCCACCATTCCTAACAGCCTCAGATCCTTTCCTTTTCCTTAAGCGGCTGAGGGGGAAAAGGAAAGGACCTGAGGCTGTTAGGAATGGTGGGAGTTGAAGTCCAAAACAACTGGAGGGCCCAAGTTTGCCCAGGCCTGTACAACATACTAAGGGTGGAGAGAACATGGTCAAAATCGAGAGGAGCTTCGTCTGGCTGTTAAGAGAGAAAGCTGTCTGTATGGGCTGGATAAGAGATGGCGCCATTCATGAAAGAAGTCAAGGAGCCATTGTTCTTTCCAGGGCCCTTCCACACAGCTGTATCAAGTCCACATTGAACTGGAATATATGGCAGTGTGGACTCAGATAACACAGTTCAAATCTTGTGGATTTTCTAGGAGGGTCTATGGCAGTGTGAAACCCCTGGTGGTGAGCTCCTGCCCTTAGTCCCAGCTTCTGCCAACCTAGCAGTTTGAAAACATGCGGCGGGAAAGTAACAGCTCTTCATGCAGTAATGTCGGCCACATGACCATGGAGGAGCCTGAATGCAGGGAGAGGGAGGAGCTCCTGCTGTTAGCCCCAGCTTCTTCCAACCTAACATGTAAATGTGAGTAGAACAATAGGTACCGCTCCGGCGGGAAGGTATCAGCGCTCCATGCTGGCCACATGACCTTGGAGGTGTCTCTGGACAACGCCGGCTCTTCGTCTTAGAAATAGAGATGAGCGCCCCTGCCCAGAGTGGGACACGACTGGACTTAATGTCAAGGAGAAACCTTTGCCTTTGCTATGGCTGGGTAGAAGGGCCCCCTGAGAGCACCCTGCCTCCTGGGCTCCGTTTCGAAAGCTGCCTGGCCGCCCAAACGGAAAAGCGCCTGACTTTCCGCTTTTTTTAAAATGGCTCTCTTCCGCCTCCCACACCTCGGCGAGGCGCGCATTCAGAAAGTGACGCAGCCCAAAGGGAACTTCATGGCGTCGTGGGCCAAGCCCAGCTCCAGCGGGGAGAGGAGCCTCTTCCCGGCCACTAAATATAGGGCGAAGGGCGAAGATGCCCCCGAGATGAGACGGGAGATGCGATTACCTCCTTTGGAGCCCAGCCCGGCTATTTCCAGCCCCGGGATTTGGCTGGAAAGCAGGCTCAGAGGGCGAAGGCAGAGAGGGAGAGGGGGAGAGAGAGAGAGAGAGAGAGAGAGAGAGAGAGAGAGAGAGAGAGAGAGCCCCCCCCCCCCCCGCCTGCCTATTAATAGCCTTTCTCTGGCTTTGGGCACGACGGAGAGGGCGCAAAAAGGACACTGCCCGCACGGCGCACGTCTACACTGCAGAAGGAATGCCGCTTTCGAGGCGAAGGAATCCTGGGAGCGCCACGAGGCCACGAATTCAGCCCGAGGGCGCCCCGGGACCACCCGAAGGGGCAACAGCGTGGCAGGAAGGAAGAGGAAGGCGCACACAAAACCCCCGAGTTGGAGGAGACCCTAAAGGCCATCCGCCCCGCAATCCAAGCCCTCCCGACAGATGGCCATCCAGCCTCTGCGTGGAAACTTCCCGAGAAGGAACCCCCCCCTTCCCTGTTTCCTCCTTCCTGCCAAGAGCAACTCCAGATCACTTCCCTTACCATGGTGCAGACGTCGGGGCTGAGATCTCACTTCAGAGTCCGGGTTACGATATCTCTATGAGAAGCAGCAACGCCTAGTGCCCGCTGCCCTGCCGCAGAGGTTTTATAAGGCGGGGGCGGGGCCTCCTGGTTGGGGGCGGGGCCAGGCAACGCCCCGCCCCCCAATGCCCTTAAAGGTTGTTGATGGGAGGCCGGGCTTTTTACGTCTCCGCTCGGCGGCTTACTGCAAATCCCCAGTCTCCGTCGTGCTGGCTCTTTCCACGCCAGAGAGACATAAATAGAGAGGCATTTCGCGGCGGGAACAGTGCAGGAGTCAAGGCTGCATCTACACTGGAGAATTAACTGTGTTTGTATTGGAAATAAGTGCACTACAACCTTACTGAAAAGGTAAAATGATATCACATCCATGGAAGGAAAAAGGAAGAGGGGACGAACAAGGGTAAGATGAATAGATGGTATTCTCGAGGTGACTGGCTTGACTCTGAAGGAACTGGGGGCGGTGATGGCCTGAAGGAGCTGGGGGCGGTGACGGCCTGAAGGAGCTGGGGGCGGTGACGGCCTGAAGGAGCTGGGGGCGGTGACAGCCGACAGGGAGCTCTGGCCTAGGCTGGTCCCTGAGGTCACGAAGAGTTGGAAGTGACTGAACGAATAAACAACAACATCCATTTGGCAAATGGGAATCTCCATGAACATGTGGAGACCACCTTTTGAAAATCACTAGTCAAGAAAAGCATGACCTTGTTAGAAGTCAAGTCTGAACAAGTGATATTCACAAGCATTGATGTTATGGCACACAGGTAACTCAGCTGTTAAACTGAAGAACCATTTCTTTAAACTGCCAAGGATAAAACATACCGCTACAAAAGTATACTGAGCTAGCAAAGGATGGTTCCCAGTGCTAAACAATCCCATTCTCTTTCTGTAGTCTGTTTCTATTGGAAATTCCATAACGTATTGGAAATAAGTACACCTCAACCTTATTGAAAAGGTAAAAATGATGTCACATCCATTTGGCAAATGTGAATCTCCACGAACATGTGGAGACCACCTTTTGAAAACCATTAGTCAAGAAAAAGCATGACCTTGTCAGAAGTCAACTCTTTGAACAAGTTATATTCACAAGCATTAATCTAATGGCACACAGGTAACTCGGTTGTTAAACTGAAGAACCATGTCTTTAAACTACCAAGGATAAAGACATGCCACTAAAAAAATATATTGGTTAGCAGAGGATGGTTGTTTCTCTGACGCTGAATTTGCCTGTCTACTCTCCCTTAAAAACCTCTTGTTTAAAACATGTACCCAAGAGACAAAACAAAGTAGTCTTCTTTAAAATAACATCTCAGGTTTACTAACAAACTTCTTGTATATATTCAGCATACAAGTCCATAGTCCAATGTCTTTAAGCATACAGATATAGTCCAAACTGTGTAACTACTCGCTGAAGTCTGAAAGGAGACAAACAGCATCCACCTCCATTGAGGTCTAAAAGCATACTGTAGAAGAAAAATGGAGTCCTGTGCCTGAAGCCCTTCCCACACAAAAGAGGTACACTTAAAGTGGCAAACCGAAGTGTACATACGATATAGGTTAACAATTATACACATTTACAAACGGTTAGTGGGGGCTTGGAAGGTTGAAAATTCCAAAAGTTTTGATACTGCTTTGACTGCCAGGGCTCAATGCAGTGGGTTCATGGGAGTCATAGTTTAGTGAGGCAGCAGCCCTCTTAGCCAGAGAAAGGAAGAGGTATCCCCTTGACATTAAGTCGAGTCATGACCGACTCTTTGTGGAGAGAAAGACCGGGGAATAATAATAATAATAAGAAGAAGAAGAAGAAGAAGAAGAACTTTGAAGTGCCTTTTCTTCCCTCCCTGTATTTCCATCTTTGTACACAGGTCTAAACACAACATTCATTTATGATTCCTATCCACACCTTGTACAAATAGCATGAAGTTGATAACCATACCCAATACTTTCATAACTTGAAGCCAAAGTCTGTGTCCACTGAGCACAAATGATTGCAGTAGAAAGAGAAAGTACGAGCCACCCAGTAAAGTAAAGGCAAAGGTTTCCCCTTGACATTAAGTCTAATCATGTCCAACTCTGGGAGGTTGTTGGTGCTCATCTCAATTTCTAAGCCGAAGAGCCAGCATTGTCCATAGACAACTCCAAGGTCACGTGACCAGCATGACTGCATGGAGCGCTGTTACCTTCCTGCAGAAATTGACCTATTGATCTACTCACATTTGCATGTTTTTGAACTGCTAGGTTGGCAGAAACTGGGGCTAACAGCAGGAGTTCACCCTGCTCCCCAGATTTGAACTGCCAACCATTTCGTCAGCAAGTTTAGCAGCTCAGCTGTGCTACCGGGGGCTCCTAGAGAAAGCCAAAAAGCATGCAAACTCCCAGGATTCCATAGCATTAAGCCATAATACCAAGAGGTGTCAAACTGTATTAATTCAATAGTGTAGTCACAGAAATGGTTTTGGGACCTAGGCGTTGGGGACTCTTCTAAACTTTGAGGATTTAAGATCCTCAAATCCTTAAGTATTTTCAACAAAGAATGGTATAACATGAAATGTTATACTTGCAGTTTTCAATTTTGTAGAAAAATAAGATAAATACGCATGAGTATTTTATCATGAGATAAAATACGCAAAAAGTAGGCAGCTACCAATGTCAGAAATGCATAGGCTCCTCCTTGGCTTCTATTCCCAGACTGATGTGCAAACTGAACTCCTCTCTCATTGGCCCTGTCTGGTGTTAGGGTCCAGCTTTGGTAAGGAAAGTGTGCCAATATTCCATCCCATCTTTAGTCTGCCACCCTAAAAAGTACATGACCTACATACCCTGTGCTTGGTTTGTAGGGTGCCTCTACACCAGGCATGGGCAAACTTTGGCTCTCCAGGTGTTTTGGACTTTAACTCACACACTTCCTAACAGCCTAAGCTCACATTCTTTTTCTCTTTTCCTTTTTCCTTTCCCACCTAAGCGGTTGAGGGAGAAAAAGAAAGGGCCTGTGGCTGTTAGGAATTGTGGGTGTTGAAGTCTAAAACACCTGGAGGGCCCTGATCTACACTGTAGAATAAATATAGCTTGACACCATGGCTCAATGCTAGGGGATCATGTGAGCTGTTGTTTTACAGGGCCTTCAAAGCCTTCTCTTCAAAAGATTGCAGGTATCTCTTAAAACTATAACTCCCATGAATTCACTGCATTGAGCCATGGCAGACGAAGTAGTGTTAGACTGCATGAATATTAGGTCCCTTCTACACTGCCATATAAAATCCAAATTATCTGCTTTGAACTGGATTATATGGCAGTGTAGAGTCATATAATCCAGTTCAAAGCAGATAATGTGGATTATCTTCTTTGATAATCTGGATGACAGGGCAGTGTAGAAGGGGCCTTAGTGGTAGAGCCCCCTATTTTAATAGCACAGATTCAGTGTGATACCATGTATGGCACTGGCACCATTCAAAATGTCAATGTGGCTGCTTCATATTAAAACCAAAATACATCTGGAGATAGCCTGTAGTTATTCAAAGCACAGTGCCTGAGACCTTGAGGAAAACAAGCAATTCAGTGTCTGGCTCTAGCTTCACCCATTTCTTATTGGTTTATTATTAATCTACACCCATCATGGGGGAGAGTATAGTGTCAAGGCAAGAAAAAAAATCAAGAGAAAGAATGTTACAGCATGTAGCTGTTTCTGGAAAAGATCAGAATGCAACTGATGAGTATGATCTGCTTGCAACCCTTTATCCACTATCAAAACTACTCAGGAGGCAATGAGTTTGGATCCTTTGCAAGAGAAAGCTAACCTTTTCCCCACTGGCCACTAAAGATAGAAGAAAGTGTCCCAAGAATAAGACCAATAATAATAATAATAATAATAATAAAGTAAGGAAAACTCCTGGAAATCACAGCCAGCTTACCGCCTGTTAGGAATTGTGGGAGTTGAAGTCCAAAAGACCTGGTCGGCCAAAGTTTGACAATGCCTGAATTGCTGCTACAAATGGTGCTTCGCCATGGTCTATGACACTGATTTATGGCTGACAGAGAAGACTGGCTTTCTAAGCTGAGATTTACTTCCCCAGCATGTCAGAGGTGAAAGGCAAAACAAAAGATGCAAGAACATGTTGGGGTGGGGTTGCTTTCAGAAAGCAAGAGTCCCTGGCAAGAGGCAATAAACACGAGTTATGGCCAGAAAAGAACTCCTGAGAAATATGACCAAAGCACTGTCAGAGTTCTTCCAACCTCTTGTGAGCAACTTCAATGTCATTTGCACATGCTCCCTCTGTGTAAGGCTGTAAATGCACTTCTATGCCAGTTTGGGAGTGCGGCCTGTGGCGATGACAAGCCTGAGCATGTGAGTTGCACGTCTTGTGCATTTCTAGGTGTGCCTGCTGGGACAGGTAACCCATCCTCAGGGCACTGTCTCTAAGAAGAATCCATCCTGCTAAACAAAGCACCTCTGGTTTTTTAGCTGACTTCATGTCTCCTTGGAAAGACTTCAAGACTAGTGGTTGCAATTAGATATTCTAAGCTTTGTCTATATGTTGTTGAACACAGGACCTCCCACACCGAAAGATTTATAGTTTCCTAAGGACTTCAAACCAGAATTAAATGCAATGGTATCCTTCCCCTCAACCCGCAACAGACCACCAGCAGCCTAATCCTTCTGATAACGGCCTCCCAAAACTATAATTTCTTTTTGTTTTAAACCCCAAGATATGCACTGACCCAAACCAGCACATATCTCAACTCTCTCCAAAGCAATCAATTTACTGTGGAGTCCTCGGTGGTGCAGCAGATTAAACCACTGAGCTGCTGAACTCCTGCTGTTAGGTCCAGCTTCCGTCAACCTAGCAGTTCAAAGATGCAAATGTGAGTATTTATTATTTATTTATTTACAGTATTTGTATACCGCTTTTCTCACCCCGAGGGGGACACAAAGCGATCAATAGGTACCACTTCGGCGGGAAGGTAACGGTGCTCTATGCAGTCATGCCAGCCACAGGACCTAGGAGGCATCTACGGACAATGCTGGCTCTTTAGCTTAGAAATGGATAGGACCACCACACCCCAGAGTCAGATACGACTAC